GATAACAAACTCCCAGTGTTAAGTTTCCTTTTGGCCCCCCTATTTCAACCCATAGAACTTCCAGAAGCGAATCCAATTCACTTAGCCTCTCAATCTTTCTAGACTTTATACCCTCTCTGACATACAGAGCTACCCCACCTCCAACCCTTCCCCCCCTATCCTTCCGATATAATATATAACCGGGAATCACTGTGTCCCACTGATTTTCCTCATCCCACCAAGTTTCAGAAATACCCACAATGTCTATTTTTCCCTCCGACACCAAGCACTCCAACTCCCCGATTTTACCTCGGACACTTCTAGCATTTGTATAGAAACAGCTGTAATTTCCCTTACAAGTTAAGCCTGCATCCTTCCTCTTGCTATCTCGAGTCGTTGTCCGGCAGTCCATGTCACCAGCCATGGCCTCTGTGGACAATTTCAATCCACCTCCCTGTAGAAAAGCAACCGGTACCCCCTCACCTCTCTCAGATGAGCCAACCCGAACCAGAGACTTTTCATCTCCTGTCGGCTTTCCCCCAATATTCAGTTTAAAAGCTGCTCTGCCACCTTTTTGATTTTAAGTGCCAGCAGCCTGGTTCCTTCTCGGGACAAGTGGAGACCGTCTCGCCTGTACAGCTCCCTCTTGTTCCAAAAAGTATCCCAGTGCCTAACAAACCTGAACCCTTCCCCCCTACACCATCGTCTCATCCACGCATTGAGACTCCTGATCTCTGCCTGTCTCTCCGGCCCTGCGCGTGGAACAGGTAACACTTCTGAGAAGGCTACCTTGGAGGTCCTGGACCTAAGTTTCCTGCCCAGCAGCCTAAATTTCTCCTCCAGGACCTCACGACTGCATTTCCCCACATCGTTGGTGCCGACATGCACCACGACCACTGGCTCCTCCCCAGCACTATCTACCAGCCTATCTAAAACACGCGTAATGTCCGCTACCTTCGCACCAGGCAGGCAAGTCACCATACGGTCAGTACGCGGGTTCGCCACCCAGCTGTCTACCTGCCTAAGGATCGAATCACCCACTACCAAGAGCCCCCCTCCCACCCTGCTCAGGGATGGTTCCTTGGTGCAAAAGGAGAGCCGCTCACCAGCTGGGGAAGAGGTCCCTTCTGAGGGCACATTCCCCTTATCCTCAGCATGGTGCCCTGTTTCCCCTAGACCCTCATGCTCCCTGACAGCAGCGGGGCTGCCAGATCCAGAGTGGGACGAAGCTAACAAGTCCCCGAGAGTCTTTTCTGTGCGCCTAGCTGACTGTCTCTGCTTCTCCAGGTCAGCCACCTTGGCCTCAAGGGAGCACACACGTTCCCTGAGAACCAGGAGCTCCTTGCACCGAGGACACACCCAAGACTTCTGCCCAGTGGGCAGATAGTCATACATGTGACACTCCGTGCAAAACACTGGATAGCCCCCAACCCCCTGCTGGCATTCTGGCTTCATAATTCTTTTAAAATAAATAAATATAATCCCCCTTTTAAACCCTTGGTATTTATGTGGTTTTTGTTATCAAGTCAAATTATTTTACGGGAAAGACAAAGAGCCTAGGGCCTTGTCTTTCTGGCTCTTTTTGGGCTTCTTACAGAGCCCCTAGTCTAAGAGCCACAGGCAAAGAGCGCTCGTGCCTCTGCCAAGGTGCTTCCTTAAATAGAGGCCTCCCCCAGCAGAGGTCAGGCAGCAGCTATTCAAATTCAAATTCACCCAGGCACTCAATCACAGGCAAAACAATGCCCCTTCCACTTCCTCTCAATTACAGGCAATCCCAGTCAAACAGTGCCCGTTCCTCTCCCACACGCAATCAGCCAGGACTCTGCAAGAACTCTAAGTGCTTCCACACACTGCTAAACACAGTTTTCCCACAAAATATCCTTAGCTGAATTCTCTCAGCTGAAAGCAAGTAAAAGAAACCCACTCACCACTCTCACAGCTCTCTCTCCTGCTCCTGCTCAGAGCTCAGCTGGTCTCCTTATTCTAGGAATGCCATGAACAACCTCCTGTTTTTTTAAAATCATTAGCAGCTAGAGGAGCTGATAATTTGTTTGAGAAAGAGACATGGCTCAGTTTTCCTGATCCAAATTTGTTGTTCCCAGACTGCTATATTCTCTGCATGGAATGGAGTGATACAGAGCAAACAGAGAGGATTATTTAGATCAGGAAATTAGCGTGGCTTCCCCATCTGCAGTTGTTAAGAAGATGAAGGACAGAAAATCAGTCTAGGGTCTCCCAGTATAATATGTAGTTTAGCACCCAGCTACTGCTAGTCCACAAGAAAATCCTAAATATTATTTAAGAACCAAAATTACCACCAATAGTAGGGTGAACTGTGCGATCATAGAGAAATGCATAGATCATAGAGGAATGTGTGATCATAGAGGAATGTTTGTTAGAAGGACTTGATTGTTCAAGAGGCAATTACTATCACACCTGTTTTACTTTCCTCAGACATTGGGATCTACTGTTTTTCCTATAAATACTATGTAATGAATCATACTACTAATACCAGCCAGGTTATGAATTACAAGGCAAACTTTATCTTCCCATTCAGAGAGCAGCACTAGTGTCACACCTTTATTCTTAACTGCAATGCCAGAGTAAAGTAATTAATTAGGGCTGTCAAGCCATCTCCTGGCACCCTTAGATACTTTGAATTCAGGAAAGGGGCAGAAATGTTCTGAAATTCCTCCAAAACTCTATGGTAATAATACCATAGACTTTTGAGGAAATTACAAAGTGTCACCTGATACACTGACATCACATTCAGTTTTCCATATAGAACTGATATCAATGTGTTGCACAATGTCATTTCTGCCCCCTTTTTTTCTCCCACTGGCCTGGACACAAAGGCAGATGGGAGGTCTGAAATGCTGGGAGATTGCCTGCCCAAACCATGCAAATGGGAAACCTAGTCATTATGTGTGCAGAGTAGAACACAACTGTGCAATACCACTAGTGGTTTAGATGTAAAAGGAGTAGGACTAGGAGCAAGAAAGGCAACAAGATAGGTGCACACTGTGCTACTTCCCCAGTTTCCAAACCAACAGAGTATTAATGGCACTGAGTAGCACTGAGGAGTTACAGCAACTATGAAATCACCTTGTACATGAACAAAAAGACTGCATGCACTTAGGTCTTTTGTGGTTTGGCTGTAAGCCTGCATTGTTTTGTGAAAGTACACTGGTGACAACTGCATCGTGGCATTGTGAAGAGATCAGAACAAAACCTGAAGAAAGAAACATTATACTGCTTAACTACACTCCTATTGCTGGCTCTGAGGCCAGTATTTAATTAAAAGCTCTTTCCTGGCTTTAAATTCACCTTGGGAGGAGCACTGATTTAAGATTAAAGAAGGAAATTACAGTCTGAACAGGCCTCTTAATTTCAACTTTGGCTGGTTCCACATGGAGGTTATCTCTGCTTTTGCTTCCAAACTGGAGGGGGGGGGGGAGCATCTGCACAAAGCCATGCTCTAATTGAGGTCTAACCATCCTTTCCTTGTCCTCAGTATGCTTTTTCCCAAATCTGCTTTACTCTGATCTTATTTGGAAAGAACACACAGTTCAAGTACATTATCAAGCCATCTGGATGGAAAGGTGTGGATTTTCTTGCCCTGCAAGGATCCTGTTTACAACAGTGTCATTTTCTGCCATCAGCCCATCATGGTCATAATGGTTTGAGTTTTATTTTTGAAAAAACCCAAACCTGGTAATTGCCATAATGCTATACACTATAACGCTATAGCAATTATCATTTTTTTTAAAAAGAAAATAGTCCTCCAAAAGCTCTCCTGTGGCCGGGCAGAAAAGCCGTGCAGGGAAAACAGCAGTCAGAGGGCATGCACGGGAAACTCTCATGTGGAAGCTCCATTGCCAGTATTACCATTGTAAAATCATGCCACGTTGACTCCCCTAAATTGTTTGTAATTGGATTTAATACATCAGGCATTAACCATAAAGCATGCAGCACCTCATGTTCCAGGCTAATATTAATGGAAGTACAGGAAATGACTAGGGATCCCAAGTCCCCCCAGGGGGGCGGGGAAACCCCTGCCCCAGAGGCCCGTTCCCCGGCGGTGCCGGATCGGGCCCCGAGGGGAACTCCACCTCAACGTGCATGTCACCCGGAAGTGACGCGGGCACGCCGGGCACGCTGGGGGCGGGGCCATGGCCATACAAGGGGAAACTATGGTTTTCCCTTGTATGGCCATGGCCCCACCCCCAGCGTGCCTGGCATCCTCCCGTCACTTCCGGGTGACGTGCATGCGGCGCGCACACAAGACGCCGGCCGGGAGCCCCCCGCTCCCAGCGAAGATAGACTTGGCAACCCTAGAAATGACCCCTGGAATACTAGCAGTGAAGTGTGCATGCACACAGAAGCTTAAACCTAGAATGAAACTTTGTCGGTCTTAAAAGTGCCACTGGACTCTAACTTGGTTCTGTTGCTTCAGACCAACACAGCTACCTACCTGAATCCCCCTCCCCCAGACATTCTCAGTACAAGAAGACTGGTATGTAGACTGCACAGTCCTACCTGATCCTTATGAGATGCATGAACTGATGCATCCTGTAGTGAGCTTAAGCATGAACATCAGAAGCTCAGAAACAACATACTTGATCCTTGAAATTAGTGTCATCCAGCCTTGCTAGAGGAATGTTGTGCCCCATTCAAACAGGAGCCTCTCCTTCCATTGCTTAAATACACACACCTCAAAAAGAAAACCAAGGCCAAGATAATACTTTGTGAATATTTATTACAGTTTTATCCCACCCTTCCTCCAGGTACTCTTGGTCTCTTTCCGTGTTTTGTAAGCAACGGTGACCAGAATGTGCATCCAGAACAATATCATATGAAGTAGAAGGGACAAGAACGTATATAACATTTAAAAAAAAATCAAAATAGGATGTGATGACTCTTAATAATGCAGAACATTTTCTATGTTTTCCTGTTTAATTAGTTTATATGCATTTTCTACCTAAAAAAAATTCTAATTCCTACATTTCTGTTTCTCTTAGACGTCTGGATGCTAACCACATCAGCTTTGTGCCCCCCAACTGTTTCAACGGCTTGGTTTCACTCAGACACCTGTGGCTAGATGACAACTCTTTGACAGATATTCCAGTGCAAGCTTTCAAGAGTTTACCAGCACTTCAAGCAATGACACTGGCACTGAACAAAATATACCACATTCCAGATTATGCATTTGGAACTCTCTCCAGTTTAGTAGTTCTGTAAGTTTTTTTTTATTTGCATTTCAGTGCATAACAGCATAGTTAACTGACTCTTTCAAGAACTTTGGTCTATTGGCATCTTGAATTAATTTGTTTCAGTATCTGCTATAAACTTAGTGTGAGAGAGAATGTATTTTTAGGGCAAATTAAAAAATGTGAAATATGAATCTAAAATACACCCAATTAACAGCATTTTTGGAGGAGGTTGGGACAGTATGCATTAATGCTTTCCTTTTATTCTTGCACATTTTAAATGTCAGCATAACTTTTCTCACTTACACAAAATTTAAATCAGCAAATAAATGAAACATAGTGGATTGTCATATGACTGCCTTACTTCAACACGATCCATGGATGATTGATTTATACAGAAATTCCTGTAGGTTTTCTGCTGCCCAAATTCAGGTATATTTTTTCTTTCTTGCTACTTTTCTCTAAAGCTGAAATTCATTATTTTAGATCCAAAAACATAAATTGAGTGTGTGTGTGTGTGTGTGTGTGTGTGTGTGTGTGGTGTAGGTATGGTGTGTGTATTGTGGAAATTGCCATCCAGGTGAGGAATATATACATACAGAGATATATCTTTCGCTTATTTTAGATGTGTGTGCTTTAAAATTATTTTAATTTACTTAGAAATTATTATTGGTATATACTGGAAATACATGGGTGGTCATTTAAAAGTTGTGGAACATGTGTCTACAGTAATTTTATGTGGGAGAGAACAACAAAGAGCAAGAATGGAATAAAGTGTTGGGAAATAAAATTAGCATTATCTGATATATCAATAAGAATTTTTGGTGGGGAGTCAGGAAATGAAAAGGTTCTTTATCTGTGTGGTTTGAATTTAGGAGCAAAGGGAATAAGTGGCCTTGTGAAAGCATGATTTGCATATGAGCATGCCTGCCTGAAAAAAATCACTTTCTTTAGATTTAACCATCAAAATGTTCATCCTGAAGTCCACTCTGTGCAGAATATCTTCCTGATTTGTGTTCTTAATGTCTCACTACAGACATCTCCATAACAATAGAATCTACTCACTGGGAAAGAAATGCTTTGATGGTCTCCACAGCCTAGAGACTTTGTGAGTTGACCTTTTATTTGTTGTGCTTTATTTTCAGTGTTTTCACTGACATTCTGCAAAAAGCCTAATAGCCAAACATGCTTTTGAGATTACTGAAAGCTCAGGGTAATCATTCCTGATGACTACATAAAAATAGAATGCAACATATATTATAATATTGTTGTTTTTGTAGACATTGGAGCACAACAGTCATATTTCAAGAAGGTAGCTAATATTATGAATAATAAATTCTTGTCATTTAAAACTATTATTGATCTTCTACAGAGCTTTTTCCTGGATGAAGCCATCACTTTGTTCATATTTGCTTCTATAGATTTTAATGCACATTATTTTAGACTGCACTGAATGATACTGCCTACATCGATGTACTTATCTTGGTTTTGCTAATCGTTTTCTTTTGAAAAGCATCACTGCAAATGCATTCTGTAAAAGTCATTTGAGAAGTAGGATGTGAATCGTTGGGACTTCTCTTGTTAAAGGTAAAGAGTCCATGGTAGCTAGATTAGGTACAATTACTAGGGGTAAATTATCAGGGGATAATGAAACCCAATAAACAGTCCCATCACAGATCATTTTCCTGCAGTCACAGATTCTCTATGAGGATTAATTCAGTTCTTCTCAAAATAGACAGAGACAAGTGGGAGACTTGTGAGAATTGTGTGGGGGTCTAATTTCCCCGCTTTCTCTCTCCTTCTTTCTTTTCCACTTTGCCTCCCATCCACCTAACCCTGCCTTTATGTTTTTCCCTCTGGCAGCCTCTACCCGCTCCCCACCCTGACAATCATTTGCTCACATACCTTTTCTACTTCCTTCCCCAATCTTCAGATTTCCATTTTAACCTTTTTGCTCTTCCCCTCTCCAACTTAACCCTCACTTCCTCCTGTCTACCTTTTTTGCCTCCCCCCCCCATACAATACTGACATTAGTGAAGGCTTGGAATCTTCAGTGATATTGGTGGAGGTTGCCTACCAGCCCCCGAAATGGCTATTGAGATCTCACAATGCTGTCTTGGGAGATTTCAGTGCATTTCTTTTATTAAAGAAGCAGACATTGCTTCTATAATTTATTGGGAGGAAAGGTTAACAGTCCAGTTTATATTTGTGCATGTCATATTTTTCTGCAAACCTGGGTATTCATTCACACTTGTAAGAAAATTATTCCCTATCTGTACATTGCCCAATTATGCCAACTTTTTGATCCACACTCTGAGGCCCTTGTTCAGAATTATATTTAGCAAGCAGGAACCACACAACAACTTGTGGGAGGCGTCTTATTTTCTCTGTATCCCCTCTTACAGTATTTCCTCTGTCCCTTACCTGGCAACCCCCATAGCCTCTCCCCTTTTCCTGCTTCCTATTCTCCTTAACAGGTCACAGTGGCTCAGAGGTTAAGAAGCTGAAGCTGCAGACCAGAAGGTCTGTAGCTCTGCAGTTTGAGACCCTAGTGCCGTGTGACAGAGTAAGCTCCCATCTCTGGCCCCAGTTCCTGCTAACCTAGCAGTCTGAAAGCAAGAAATTGCAAGTAGATAAATAGGTACCACTTCGGTGGGAAGCTAACAGCGTTCCATGTGCCTTGGCATTTAGTCATGCCAGCCACATGACCACGGAAATGTCTTCGAACATCGCTAGCTCTTTGGCTTGGAAACAGAGATGAGCACCACCCCCTAGAGTCGGATTTGACTATCTTTTGAGCAAGGGAAACCTTTATATTTTATTCTCCTTAACATTACCAGCCAACCTGCCTTTATCTGCCCTCCTCTTTCAGCTTTCTCTTCTTCCTTCTCTTTGGCAGCCTCTCCCCAGGAAAAGTCTGGTCCAGTTGTGTGGTGACCACCACTGCCAGGCTGGGTCATAGAATCATAGAATGTTAGAGTTGGAAGGGACCTTGCAGGTCATCTAGTCCAACCCCCTGGACTCTGCAGGAGCATAGATGAAAGATAGCCCTACAACATACCCAAAAAGATGGTTGTCCAGCCTCCGCTTGAAAACGTCCAGCGAAGGAGCATCCACCACCTCCCGAGGCAGACTGTTCCATTGCTCAACCACTCTTACAGTTAGGAAGTCTTTCCCTGATATTTAGCCGGTAACGACTCCCTTGTAATTTCCACCCATTAGACCTAGTCTTGCAATCCAGAGCAAGAGAGAATAGATCTGCTCCATCTTCTAAATGACAGCCCTTCAGTTGTATGGTAGCTGCTGCTGCCAGGCTAGTTGTGCAGTAGCCACCGCTAGTGGGCTAGGACCAGTGGTACATTGGCTGCTGGCACTGGGCAAGGCCCACATGTGAGGGTTGTGAATCTTCAATGATTACCGACAGGGCTGTTGCAGGTGAGTCCTCCTACAGCAGGGATGATGACAGGGGTGGAAAACAAGACCCTTTCCAGGACTTTTTTGGCCTCCAAGTGTACCCCTGCTCCCCCCCCCAGTCTTGCTTTACAGAAGCCAAAGTGGGTGGGGGTCATGAAACCCAATAAATCTTAGAACCAGGGTGGATTTCTCTACTAACATGAAAGAAGTCCCAGGTTTACAGAAAAATCTGAAATCTAATACATATATTCTGCAAATCCAGGACTCCTTTCAGGTTTGTAGAGAAATCTCCCCTGCCTGTAGGTCCATTTTGCTTATCTATTAATACATACTATGCAGCCCCATTCAGAATTAGATACATTGATGACTGCAGAAAGCTGCATTGGTTTAAAGAAAAGTTAAAAGCAGAAGCCACGTAATACCTTTTCTTAGGACCAGTCAAAAAACAAAGATGGTGTTGAATAATTACTTCATGCTTCTGAAGGTATCCTGGTTTATAGACTTGTAAATACAATGAAGGTAAGATAAAACTATAAACAAATACTACAGTAAGAAAGCAATAAATTGTATGCCTAACCTAACTACTGTGTCTTTTTGTTTAATCTAGAGATTTAAATTACAACAATCTGGATGAATTCCCCACCTCTGTCCGAGCACTCAGAAGCCTGAAAGAACTGTAAGTACAGAATTTCAAGCTGCCAAGAATTTCTTTATTTCAGTGATGATCACTTTCTCAGTGTAACTGAATGTCCTGGAAATATTGGAAACTGCAAGTCCTTCATAGCAGGCTAGGAAAAAGAAAATTAATTCTGGCTCTGCAGCTACAGTTGCACTCTTCGCTTCCTCACCCAGGGTCAAACTACATGTGAGGCTGAAGTGTTGCACTTGGAACTCCAGATGTGAGATTAACAATGCAATCCTAAACAGTGATACACTCTACTAAATGTATTGAAATCCATTCATTTCATAGGATATGACTGTGTTTAGGATTACGCTGTTGATCTTTTAAAGCAACTGCAGAGGAACAGGGTTTGGATCAGAAACATGACATTGAGGGAGAGATACATTTTTCACTCCTTCACATAGTGTTTCTTGGACCCAAAATGCCTCTCCCAGGCTAATATCAGCTTTGGGGATAAAAAGACAGGCACAATACGGTGTCTGCCTTTCCCCCCTCTTCGGGAACTTAAAGCAGCCTATGGAAAGGCAGAGGTCCATCAGTGGCTATTAGCCACAAGGTATAGATAGGAACTCTCAGTATGGGGGAAAGTGATGCACTGTATTCTTGGTGCTTGGAGGGGGTCAACAGTGGGAGGGCTTCTAATGTCCTGGCCCCACTGCTGGACCTCCTGATGGCACCTGGTATTTTTGGCCACTGTGTGACAGAGTGTTGGACTAGATGGGCCACTGGCTGGATTTAACATTGGCTTCTCTTATGTTCTTATGAAATGGCTTAGAGGTGAAGAGATAAACTTGTTAGGGCCTCAATCAATGAGTTTTTAGAACCAAAATACATGCTGGGGATTTCTAGTCTCAGAACTCAAATGTCATATGTTGTTTAGTCTTTGGCGTTGCTGTAAAAAAAAAAAAGCAGAACCTTCCCCTTGTGGCAGAGGCAACACACCTTCAGCACTACAAGAGGAAAAGAAGAATGGAGAAATTAACATTATTGTTGCATTATTATTGTCCATGTCTTTCTGTCAATGAAATGGGAGAATGGGAGCAGGTAGTTAAGGCAGGCTTTGGACCAAAATGGCCAGTCACTTCTGGAAGACAAGTGTGGCTGTTCTGAGACTTGATAGCAAAAAGTAGTATTGAAAGGGATGATGTACATGGACATATTTGCAGCTAGTGGAGAAGTTGCACTTTTTGACAATAAAACAGTATAATTTCCAGATATTTATTTTATGAATTCTGGAAGCACTATGGTTCTTGGAATCTAACATATAGTATTATTTACTTTACTGTATTGCAGCATGACTATGGGATTGTTACAACAGGGATCCTGAGGGAAGGCGGCAGTGGGGCTAGGAAGAAGAACCCCCCTCCGACATTGGTGTTGTGTAACGCCAGGTCTATAAATAATAAGACCATGGTCCTTAGGGACTTCCTGCAAGACCAGAATGTAGGCATGCATGACCGAGACCTGGGTGCAGGAAGGGGAGATAGTAGCTCTCTCCCAACTTGCTCCCCCCCCGGGTTCTCGGTCCTCCACCAATTGCGGACCAAGGGGCAGGGAGGGGAGTGGCAATATTCATCCAGGAGGCTTACTCCTTCAGGGCGCTACCACCTCCAAGGATCATGGGCATTGAGTGTGCCGGCCTGGTATGGGAGGCCGGGGAGAGTTTGGCGATTTACCTGGTGTACCAACCGCCTAACGCACCAGTCAATAGCATGCCGTCCCTGATGGAGGCCGTAGCAGACTGGGCATTGGAACACCCTAGACTGATAGTCTTGGGTGATTTCAATGTCCACGCTGACTTCTACTGAGGCAGCGGACCTGGTGTCGTCCATGGCGGCACTAGGACTCTCCCAATATATAACGACCCCCACTCACCAGGCAGGGCACACACTCGATTTGATCTTTGCGGCGGGGGTCACAGTGGACTGAGTTACCACTTCGACAGTTCCACGGTCGGACCACCATGCCCTGAGGGCCCGCCTGAATGTCCCACCCCAATCCTGTTTAGGTGGTGAGCGTATTTTAGCTCGCCTGCAGAGCCAGATGGACCCAATGCAGCTGCAGATGGCTCTGCGGGATCTGATGCCCCCTGGTGGCTCGTTAGATGAGGTTGTAGGGGACTGGCATAGCCAGCTCTCCGCAGCCATCGACAAGATTGCTCCTCTGCGTCCTCGGCACCCTTGCTCTAGGCTTGCTCCCTGGTTTACCCAGGAGTTGCGGCTTATGAAGCGAGGACTGAGACGACTAGAGAGATGGTGGCGCCGTGCTTGAGATGAAGCTACAAGAGCATCTTATAGGACATTTATGAGATCCTATGAGATGGCAGTCAAAGCCATGAAGAGAGAGTACTACGCAGCCACAATTGCGTCCACAAGCTCATGCCCAGCCCAGTTATTTAGAACAATTCAGTCCATAACTACTCTGCCAGAGGGCAGACCAAATGCTCAGGAATTGGATATAGGCTGCGAGGCATTCGTGAGCTATTTTGCGGATAAGGTCTCCCCGCCACAGTTGATACAGTGAGCAAGCTTGAGGCTCCATGCATGTCTTCAATTCTAGTTCTTGATCATTTCAACCGACTCAGCCTAGAGAAAGTTGACAAACTGCTCGTGGCTGTTCGTCCTACCACATGCTGCCTTGATCCGTGCTTGCCATGGCTAATTAAAGCTGGCCGCGACGGGTTTCAAGGCACCTTGAGGGAGATTATCAACAAATCCCTCATTGAGGGACAGTTCCCTGGGGTGCTTAAGGAAGCAGTGGTCCATCCTCTGTTGAAAAAATCATCTCTGGATCCGACTGAATTGGCCAACTATCGGCCGGTTTCCAATTTGCCCCATTTGGGCAAATTAATAGAGAGGGCGGTAGCAAGCCAGCTACAGAGCTTTTTGGATGATGCTTCCATCTTAGATCCCTTCCAGTCCAGCTTCCGCCTTGGTCACGGGACGGAGATGGCACTGGTCATCCTCACAGACAACCTCCATAGGCATCTGGATTGAGGCGGATCAGCAGTGCTGAGCTTGTTGGACCTGTTGGTGGTGTTCGACACGGTCAACTATCATTTACTAGTCCGCCGCCTTGCCAACATAGGAATCCAGGGGCTTCCCTTACAATGGCTTCCTTCCTTTCTCCAAGGTCGGGGACAAAGGGTGGCACTAGGGAACAGCAGTCCAGGAGGCACCCACTAGATTGTGGAGTGCCTCAAGGGGCAGTGTTATTTAACATCTATATGCACCCCCTTGCCCAGATAACCTGGAGGCATGGGCTGGGATGTCACCAGTACGCTGATGACACCCAGCTCTATCTGATGTTGGGCGGCCGGTCGGACTCCAGACCGGAAGACCTGGACCGGGCATTACAAGCCATGGCTGGTTGGCTTAGGCTGAGTTGGCTGAAACTGAATCCGATGAAGATGGAGGTCCTGTGTTTGGGTCGGGCAGTCTGGGTGTGGGGATCCCACCCGACCATCGATGGGGCACCATTGGTGCCAGTTCCAGAGGTTAGGAGTTTGGGAGTGCCAATGCCAAAGGAAGTGCTGTGGCTGCGCTGAGGTGCAAGTGGAGGCGCGGGGGGGTGCGCTTGTTCCTTTTGCTTGAAAAGAAAACGCAGAAAGTAAAACTTTGCCATAAACCCCCCCCCCCAGTCTTTGCACTCCCTCGCTTGGGACAGGACTGCCACACTTCAAAGTTCTGCCCCCCCCCACTCTTCTCCGGTTCCCTCTCCTGTCTCCTCGACTGCGCTAGATGCAGTCCAGTTGGCTGAGAGGGAAATCACAGGGTCGCCTGGAGGGCGATCCCGGTGCAGGAAGCTGGACACGAAGAGGCAACTGGCTGGAGTGGATTGGGGGGGGGCGAGGAGAGGCTCTGGGCTTTGCGAGGCCAGGAAGAAGCCTGGCTGGGGCTTGAACAGTGGAGAGGAAGGGTCAGACCCCCCCCCCCGGGTCTGCCTGAGCTGGTCCCCCTCCGACAGAGGCTCGCATGGGAAATGCCCCTTTCTCTGGGGTGGGGAAAAGGGCTCTGAAGTTGCAATTGACTAGTCGCAAGTCCCCCCAGTTTTCAAGGCAAGAGGCACTCCAAGGTGGATGTGCCATGTGGCCTGCCTCTGTGTAGCCCCCCGCCCCCGGACTTCCTCTGTGGTCCCCCTTCCAAGCATTACCCAGGCATATCTTTTTGGGCTGCAGAGGTCTGAGGAGATCAGGTTGGCTTGGGTATAGGATCCGGGAGATCTGGGTTCGAATCCCCATTCCTGCCTTGGAAGTTGTCTGGGTGCCCTTGGGCCAGTCACACCCTCCCCGCCTAGCCTACGTCACAGGATTATTGTGAGGATAAAAATGAAGGAGGGGGAGATAGGATGTAAGCCCCTTTGGGTCTCCACTGGAGAGAAAGGTTAGGTACAAATGAATTAAATATGTAAAAAGAATCCCTGCACATAGAAAACCAGCATGTCCGTCTCCTGATATGCTAGATTTCTAAGTGTTGGGATTTTTTTCCCCCAGGCAGCTCATTCCTTCACCTGAGCTTCTGTCCACCTGCAGCCTGGAAGAGGAGGAGATTGGATTTATACCCCACCCTTCACTACCCGAAGATGTCTCAGAGTGGTTTACAATCTCCCTTCCCTTCCCCACAACAGACACCCTGTGAGGGAGGTGGGGCTGAGAGAGCTCTTTCAAGGAGTGCTCCTGTGAAAACAGCTCTGTAATAACTTGTGACTGACCCAAGGTCATACCAGCAGCTGCATGTGAAGGAGTGGGGAATCAAACCGGTTCTCCCAGATTAGAGTCTGCACTCCTAACCACCACACCAAAAGGATGGGATCCGGGCACAGTTTAATTAAGTTTAACACTTGTTGGTTTGGAGGACTAGGCAGTAGTGGAGGGAGCTGAGAGAGAAGAAAATGTGCAGTGAGAAACAGGTTGCTTATCTGTAACAGATGATCTTTGAGTGGCCATCTGTGCACTACCACACATGGGGTGGGCACCTGCACACAACCTCGATCGG